TTTATCGTTCTCCTTAGGACATGTTGTTGTTGATGTTAGGTGCTATAGAGTCAGTTACGACTCATAGCAACCCTATGTACAACAGAACGAAACACTGCCCTGTCCTGTGCCCTCCTCACAGTCATTGCTGTTTGAGTCCATGTTGCAGCCACTGTCTCAATCTATCTGTTTGAGGGTCTTCCTCTTTTTCACTGACCCTCTACCAAGCATGATACCCTTCTCCAGCGACTGGTGCCTCCTGATAACTTGTCCAAAGTACGTGAGACAAAGTCTTGCCGTCCTCCCTTCTAAGGAGCATTCTGGTTGTATTTTCTTCCAAGACAGATTTGTTCCTTCTTCGGGCAACCCATGGTATATTCAGTATTCTTCGCCAACACCATAATTCAGAGACATCAATTCTTTGGTCTTCCTTATTCATTGTCCAGCTTTCACATGCATATGAGGCGATTGAAAATACCATGGCTTGGGTCAGGCGCACCTTAGTCCTCCAAGTGACATCTTTGCTTTTTAACACTTTAAAGAGGTCTTTTGCAGCAGATTTGCCCAATGCAAATCTGTCACCAGCTAATACAATACAGTGTATTACTATTTTTCTAGTCTCTGGATAGAATGTAAGCTCCAAGAAGGCAAGGACGTTTTTCTGTCTCTTGCTCACTCCAGTATCTGCAGCTCCTACATTAGGCCATGGTACATAGTAGTTGATCAATACTGTAAGTATTTGTCAAATGAATTAATGGAAAATTGTAACTTTGGTCAGTGACAGGGATCCTGAGAAAAGACACAGTTACTTTTTGTTGTAGAGTGAAAGTTTGGACAATGCAGTTAAAGCTTATGTATAGTTTTGAATTGGATTTATATAAAACTTTTCTTCCAAGGCATTTGTACAATTTATTGTGCAAATGTTGTCTTATTTATTATTCTGACATCTTTGTTATGTAGATGGGTGGCAGATATTAATACAAATGGAGGAAATAAGACAGAGAAAGAATTTGACTTGCCCTAAGTCCCATAGCAATTGAGTTGCAGAACTGATTTTAGATTACAGATTATGTAGTCACCTTTTTTTATTAATAGTTTTTTCCTCCTTCCTAAAAGGTGAGTTAAGTGTTCAAAGATCCTTTTGACAGTTATATGGGTAGTATTAAGGTAACTCACCAAAAGCAATTCCCATTGGATATTTGCGCACTATATTTTTTGCTATTCATTAATTTTATCATAAAAATGCACTGAGGTAATGAATGTTTAAAATGTGCCCGAAGTCTAACTTTTTTTCCTAAGGAGTTATAAATCAGATTACTTGCTGTTCATTCAAGTCTGTCTTCCCTAGCTTCTCGCACCCCCCACTTCAATTTATTGAAGGCAGGGCCTGTCTCATTTAAAACTCATTGCTGTTGAGTCAATTCCGACTTACAGTGACTCTATAGGACAAAGTAGAACTGCCCCCATAGGGTTTCCAAGGAGCAGCTGGTGGACTCCAAATGCCGACCTTTTGGTTAGCAGCTTAGCTCTTAACCACTACACCACCAGGGCTTCTTATTTTATTTAAGTATTCCCAATATCTCACACAACATCTAGGCTAGCATACTGTAAGTATTCAGTCAGGGTTGTTGAATGAAAAATGATTCTTTTTCCTCTCAGGTCAACTTTCTAAAATTGTTTTTGGGCAGGAGCAGTGAATGGGTTATTTCTGTGTAAAGATGTTGGTAGACTAAAATACTTAGGCAAATGTTTGTTTTATAAAATGCCATTTATTTTTGACATGGAAAATAAAGGTTAGAAATGATTGGGAGGGTTCAGTGGAAGCACTAAGCAATAGATGACAGTTCTGGTTTTAAAGAATTAAATGGAATTGTAAATTCTATTTGAAAAATTATTTTCCTGAGGATTTTCAGAGAAATTGGAATCTGTTCCTTTCCCCTGTTTTATTAAGCAAATCTTGAAGAAGTTACTTGACTCATCATTTAGAATGTCTTATTCATTCACTTTCATTTTGTGAAATAAGTTTCCCTGAATGTGTTGTATAAAAACAGGATCTTCTTGCTAATGAGTAGTTTTTAAAATTACTCAGCAGTGATTCTTTGGTTTTGTGAAACTTCAGGGAAGTCTTTAACTCTTCCCTCTCTATCCCTTACATCTGGTTGCCATATCCTTTCTTCCATCTCCTCTGTCTAACGTCATCTTGTTTCAGGCCTTTGTTAACCCTTGCCTGTCTTCCCAAAAGATAGCTTTTCCCCATTCTCCTGCCTGTTGACGTTTTTAACCACCTCCAGGTGCTTCTTTGTGGCACCTGTAGTCATACCAGTTACCTTCTGGGATTCCTTACTACCTAATGAATTTTAATAGATTTCTTACCATAGTATTCCAGGCCCTGTAAATACCTCCGAACCTCAGTCTTGCCATCCCTTCCCCTGCCTGCCCCTCGTCCCCACCCTGCAGTTTAGTGTCTATGTTTATTGAGACAGAGCAAGTTAGTGTGTACCCTGAGGAGGCATCTAAGATGATTAGATATCGAAGGACCTTGCATAGCAAGTTTATTCTTGATGAGACTAGAAATTAGTAACCCCTGTGATGCTGAGAATGTCAGTTATCTTTAGATCTCCATAAGTAGAAAAACAGAATAATGAGCGAGCCCAATAGTTGAGGGTGGGGGCGCGGATTATAGGATACATGTTTTGTGCATGTTGGAGATTAAGGTGATGTGAACAGACAGGTATAGATGTTTGAGGAGAATAGGGAGGAGTAGGTGAGAAGTGCAGCTGAAGAGAAATTGGCATGAGGAAAACTACTTGGGACTTTTCTATAAAATGAAAATTGAGGTATCCACTGTGAGATTTGTTTTTCCCTCTCATTATAGAAAGAGTTAAAATCAGATTTTAAATGGCACTACTATGGTAGTTTAATGGTTAGAAGGGAAAAGTCTGAGGACCAGGTTAAAAAAAAATGAGAGTAGTATCCTGGAAGCCAGCTCTTACCATGAGACAGTTGATACACAGGGATAGCCTTGGTTTTCAGAGTTTATGTTGGAAATAAGACTTACTTGTAAAAATCTGAAGATAAAATGCAATAGTCAGGTATAAAATAATTCACTATACTGTTGTCCTTGGCATGCATCTGTCAGGACTGTATTGTAGGTGAAATAGAGCTATAATGAAGTCTTTTGGTATGTCCAGTAATACCTTCTTGGACAGGCTCAAACACATGTCAACTTTATATTGAATCTATCCAAAACACAAAAAAACCAAGCCCACTGCCGTCAAGTCGATTCCGACTCATAACCAAAAAAAACCAAACCTGTTGCCATTGAATCTGTTCCGACTCATAGCGACCCTATAGGACAGAGTAGAACTGCCCCATAGGGTTTCCAAGGAGTGGCTGGTGGAGTCGAACTGCTGACCTTTTGGTCAGCAGCCATAGCTCATAACCACTGTGCCACCAGGGCTCCTTCTGACTCAGAGCGACCCTGTATCTACCAAGGAAGGGTTATTATATTTATAAAGTTTAAGATAATTTTCTTGGTAAATTTTTTTCTTACTATTAAGTTTAAAGGACCGCTTTGTAATTTTTCATCTTATTGAGGAATAATTGAGTACTAGGGAAGCATTCATTCATGAGATTTGAGACATGTATTTTGTGGGAAGTATTACAAAAACAGAATGCACAGCATATAGATGGAGAATGAAACCATACTTAAAATTTCATGAGAGCAGCCTGACTAGAAAGTCTGCAAATACAAGTAGTCCCCAGCTTACGACAGCGTTCTGTTCTGGTGATTCTGTTGTAAGTCGGTTCTGATGTGAGTCGGATACCTCTTTATTTATTTATTTTAATTTTCAGTATTATTGCCTTTTAATGTCAGTATCTTTATAAATCTGATCTTTATTTGTTGGTGAGTGAACATCTGAGAATGATAACATCAACAGATAACATCAACAAATTACACGCTGCAGCACTGTATGTAGTACTTATTATTAATGATAAAATGTACCAAAAAAACCAAAGTGGTCAGCTGTAGGTGTGGTTCTTTGTAACTCGAATACATCCTAAGTCAAGCACTACCTGTAATACATTTCTTTATCCTGCAATTTTCAATGACGTGTTTTTCCTTGTTTTTTTTACCCCCCACAGGCATCTCTGCAACTGTGTCCTTGGGGTCCTGGTATAATGAGGACAGTAAATGCTAATGATTATTGAGATCCAGGAACTGTTATTTTATTTCCTCACTTAAAAAATCCTTATTTAGGGCTGTAGCTATTGCAAGGAGCTCTGGTGGCGCAGTGGTTAAGAGGTCAATGGTTTAAATCGACCAGCTGCTCCTTGGAAACCCCATAGGGCAGTTCTACTATGTCCTGTAGGGTCATTATGAGTCGGAATTGACTAGACCGCGATGGGTTTTGTTTGTTTTGTTTTTTTTGCTGGCCATCGCAAAGACCTTGTTCCCCAAAGACATCCTTATATTTCAGATTTAAGAGTCTTCTCTATAATGTCATTGGATTTAAAGTAAACGTTCTTGTAAGTCTAGAGATCTGTGTTTTAAATCCAACTATTTCATATGTAATGTATGTTTTTTTTCTTTTTGTCTTTTTAGCCGTGTGGTTTTGCCATGTTCTGTTCAGGAGGTAAGTCTTGCTTGCTTCTGCATTATCTTAAACTGATACAGTTTACTTTGATATGTTAATTTAAACTTACATTTTCATAATATTTGTTTACCTATTCATTCCAGAGTATGTGACATAATGAATTATGGTGTGTTACAGATAATTAATTGCAAATGAATTCCTGTTACACTGCCTTATTTTGGAAAGATCCAAAGAATGTTTGCAGTTCAACCTCCTGCCCAGTGCAGGAATTTTTTTTATATCATCCCTGAGAAATGAGGTTCCAGCCTTAACTTAAGTACTTTAAGATCAGTTAGCTTGCTGCTTAGAGAAGCAGCCTATTTTACTATTAGACATTTTTAACATTTGTCTTTACTTTAAACCAAAATCTGCTTTCCTATCATGCTTGGCCATTGTTTATAGTTCATTCCACTTGAGCAATAGGAAGGAAGCCTGTTCTGTCTTGTACATGGTAATCTTTCAGGTTTTCTGATGGCAATTCACTCTCCTTCTCCAAACCCTTTTGTTCCATCATTTCTACATGAGGTCACAAGGTTAAACATTGCCAGCATGTTCATTTGGCCTGAAATATAACGACCTCTAGACTTCCTACCAGCTGGTCTCACTCCTGCATGTGCAGAGTTGAAACCAGTATTCCAGACGTGGTCTGACCAGCACACATAACCTGTGGGAGAGTATTGTCTCCCTTGATCTGCACGTGCTGCAGAAATACTTCACCTATTCAGACCTTGCCTGCTCTGCAGTCATGGCTATCTGTAGTGTACCCAAGAATGAGGATAAAAGCAGAAAAAGCTTTCAAGAAATCAAGATATATATAGCAAAACCCCTAAGGCCCTCTGGGCCCTTGCATAACTTATACACAGTTTGTACTTGCTCAGTTATCTGGTTTTCCTAGCAGTGCATTGGAAGTGGGACAAAACAAACTGATAACCTAAGAAGTGACAGCTGACGGAAGACAGAAAAAATAAAATGCAGGAACTAAGAAAGCATAGCTGTCTGGGCCTGTTTAGTGTAAACTTGAACAGAGTTCTGCATAGTAATGCCTGAAGTTTTACAACATTAAAACATACTCGAGACAAGCCAGACACCCTCATCCCTTACTTGCACAGTTGATTGTTTGAACTTAAATGTGCAAGTTGACATTTGTTTTTGTTAAAATTTTTCTTTCGGTTTCAGCTGGTTAAATCAGCTTCTTCAAATATTTCTAATCCTTAGTATTGTCATCCAAAATAATCTTCTGAGCTTTTTATTATATTCAGATTTAATAAACGTGCCCCGTTTCTGTTCAAGTTACTCTTAAAAATGACAATGAGAGTAAATCTAGTAGCATGGCACAAAATGCCAGTCCATTATTATTTTTTAAACCTTGCTGTTGTTTCTGTGTGAGTTTTTATTACTTCTGTGTTCCTGACCAAGATCAGTTTTACCTTTTGACTTAGACACATTTTAATCCTGTTTTTAAAATATGACTGTTGAAAACCAAAATCAAACCTGTTGCCATTGAGTTGATTCCAACTCATAGCGATACTATAGGACAGAGTAGAACTTTCCCATAGGGTTTCCAGGGAGTGGCTGATGGATTTGAACTGCTAACCTTTTTGGTTAGCAGCCAAGCTCTTAACCACTGTGCCACCAGGGCTCCGACTGTTGAAAAGTACATTTTAAAGGATGTAAGGATTGTGGCATTACTGGACTAACCCTGGGTGTTATATCATGTAAAACCAAAAGAAGGAACACAGTTCTCTGTGCAGTCTAAAATAACTACAGAAGCTTAACCTCTGGTGCATTTAGGAAATGTGTTTGGTTCCAGCTTCCTAAACCCTTCCAGATTGAATAAGATTGTGTGTGAGGGGGTATGTGTGTTTTTAAATTAACCTGCAAGATAGTATCATACTCCTGTGGGCTTTTTAGATACAAATATTTACTTAGCTTACAGCTACCCCTATTTTTTGTCCCTCAAATAAAATGTTGGTTTTAAATTGCTAGTTTTTAGAAGTAGATTTTTGTAGCTTTTCTTTGGAAAATATGCTTATAAAGAAGAAAAACACGTCTTCAGCTGTCTTCATTGGAGGGAAGAAATTGAGCCACATTCAGGAGACTGGAGATAATGTCATAGCAGGTCGCTGGAACAAATTCGAACACAAGGTTTTATCTTTGATTTTTATCATCTGTTGGAACTGTTAGTGATTTCAGATGAGTATAGGACAAGTCTGCCAACTCACAGGTATTGATACAGACTACTGAGAATTCTGGATCATTTTAAAATGAAATGGAAACTACTGTCAGCAGTTTCTACCTTTTATGATAATGCTTTTATATTTACAATACTTTTAGAACAGTTTCTGTCAACTGGAGAACTCCACAATTGACAATTCTGATCCTGGGCTCCCAGTACTGTTTCTGATTAGGTGGGCAAGGACCAAATTGGGCATGTCATACATAGGTCATGAAAAAAAAGTTCCCGTAAGTCTACTTAAATTTGAATCTTTGGTCATTTGTTCCTGTTTCTCGTCTTTATATTTAGAACTATATTCTGATTGCTTACCTGCTGTTTGTGTGACTAGGGAAAATCATCATAATTTCTGTAAGCCTAAGCTTTCCTATTTAGCAAAGTGACAATTAAAATTTTTGCTGTAACCTCAGTTTGTGCAGATGAAATGAGATATAAAACCTCATTGCTGTCGAGTCGATTCCGACTCATAGCAACCCTATAGGACGGAGTAGAACTGCCCCATAGGGTTTCCAAGGAGTAGCTGGTGGATTCAAACTGCTGACCTTTCGGTTAGCAGTCAAGCTCTTAACCACTGTGCCACCAGGGCTCCAAATGAGATACAGTAGATGTGAAATTGGTTTGGAAAGTACAAATGTATATTTATTTTCCAAGACGATGAAGCAGGTGTTAAGACATTTTATTAATGATACATGAATAGTATATATTAAAGCACCAGAGTATTTGTAATTAGTGCTTCTCTTGAATAATGGAAATTCTGTAAAACGTTATAGAGTTTCTAAAACCGTACGAGCGTCTGGTGTTTGTCTTCCTAAACATACTAATTTATCATTTGTGTTATAGTATAGAACCTACGCGCTGAATGGTTTGATTCTGCTTTTCTATCTTCTGTAGTAAGATTTTTGCATAGGAAGTTTCTGCAGTTACTACTGGCTTATTGAAATTCTGTACTATTTGAAATTTCAGTATCAGGTCGGGCAGCTTTACTCTGTTGCAGAAGCTAGTAAGAATGAAACTGGTGGTGGAGAAGGAATTGAAGTCTTAAAGAATGAACCTTATGAGAAAGATGGAGAAAAAGGACAGTATACACACAAAATTTATCACCTAAAAAGGTAAGTGGGGTGTTCTCATTTGATTTTTAGTAGTTAAATTGGATAATTATGCTTTAACTACCCACCTTACTTACTAAGGATGTAACTACTTAATTTACTAGTAGACATACTGAGGTATGTTTTTTATTTTAATGTAATACTATGTTGCAGTTTAATTTTTTCAGAGCACTCTCCCTCTATTATTTTTTTTTGAATTATAAGAGTAATATATCTTCTAACAAAAAAATTCAAACAACATAGAAGACTATAAAATAAAATTTTAATTTCCACCTCATGCCATCCTATATCCCGTAACCTCAGAGAGAAACACCAGAAACGGTTTAGGATTTGCCCTCCTAAATCATTTTCTATTCATGTTCAAGCAAATTTATAAAACAGATGTATAGAGAGACATATCACATGTATCATTTTTAGTTTTCTACAAAAAAATGGGATCATTATAGTTAAGGCTCTGCAGTTTGCTTTATGTTTTATACAATGATATGAGCATCTTTCCATGTCATTGTTTTATATCATGTCATTCTTTTTAAAGCTAAGTAGAATTTCTTAGGATGGACATAGCTTAGTTTATTTAATCACTTTCTAAATGATAATTCCATTTCTTTTTTTTTTTTTCCAGTTTTTGTCTATTACAAAAAATATTTCTGTAAACATTTTTGTACGTATGTCTATGCCTTAAGTTACTGTTTTCTAGGAGAAATTTATAAAAGTAGGATTACTGGGAAGACTTGCTCATTTTAAATTTTGATATTACTGCCAAATTGCCCCCTAAGAATTTGTGATTGTTGCGTTTTTCCTGTATTTTTCTTTTTAATTCTTGTCTATTTGATAGATTGAAGATAATCTCTTGTTTAAATTTGCCTTTCTTTATTAGTAAGGTTGAATGTCTTTTCATGTTAATTCACCATTTGAATTTCTGTTCAAATCCTTTGTTCGTGTTTTTTTTTTTTTTTTTCCTCCTCTCTCCGGTTTGTAGAAGTTCTTTTGCACGTTCCTCTCTAAGTTTGGCAGTCTATTCTCTATCTTTGGCATGAATATTTTAAAATAAAAGATGCATACCTGTATTTATCTAAGGGCAAAAGCCCAGTAATGGCTTTTAAGAGTTAGTCTCCTCAATTTATTAAACGTGAGAGGAATTCTTTGCTCTTCTCTTACCTTTATTCTCTTTGTAATTGAAATGATTCACACCCATGTTCTGTAGAGCTCCTTAAAGTTGTAGATGAGCTGTAACAGTATTTTTTATGTTTTCTGAGTTTACCTTTACTGTTTAGTTTGTAGTAGCACTTGAATATAAAATAGGTTATCATTTTATAGAACCTTATTTTTTATTATTTTTTCTTAGTACACAGTATTTCTTTGCTTGTGTTCTATGTTTGATTTGAGAAATAATGAAGGCAATAACCCTATATGGCAGAGTAGCCCTATAGGGTTTCCTAGGCTGTAGTCTTTGTGGGAACAGATCACCAGGTCTTCTTGTCTCTCACTGAGTGGCTGGTGGCTCAAAGCACTGACCTTTCGCTTAGCAGCCGAGCACTTAACCATTGTGCCACCAGGACTCCTTTTAGACTGTCTTATAAATTGTGACTAGTAATTTGTTAGCACCCTAAATATATCTTAAAATGTGTCAGTTGAGAGAACGGTTTGATATTCTAGATGGTATATTCAGTATAATAGTGGTAGTATTAAATTTTACTTACGTATATAAAGCTTTTCCTAGAATTTTGTATTTCCTCATTAATTGAATTCTACCAACACATAGAATTTCTTTATTTTAAATATTCAACTCTTTCTGTAGGTTCTAAAATAAACCAAAAGGTTTGATATATAAAAATTCCTGTTTGTTTAAAGCATTACTCCACATAATGTGAATCAACTTGAAATAAATTCAGAATATCCTTGAGGTGATAATTAAGAGTTGGAATACTGGGGAAACGTTTAACATATTATTATTAAATGGAAAATACCGGTTGCTAAATAATATGTACAGTGTGATTCCAGTTACATATGTTTAAAAAAATTGATCAAAAAAGCCTAGAAAGAGGTTCATTAAAGTGTTAAGAATATTTATCACTTGGCAGTAGGATTATAGGTGATTCTTAAAATTTTCTGCTCTTCTGTATTTTCCTTTTTTAAAAAAAAAAAATTGTGAACACGTTTTATTATGAGAAAGAAAAAGAATAAGAAATATTACTTTTGAAACATCTGATTTAGGTGACACTCCAGCTATAAATACTGAATCTCTTAAGTTGAAGCATACTATATAAATATGGTTAGTGCAAGAGATATTTTTATTCCGGAGAGCTTATTTGGGGATGAGGTTCAGAATTCCTCCCAGGCTTTTAGTGGATTAGATAAAGGAAAATCTTGGCTCCCTGGAGGCCAACCTTCCAGCGCACTCAGGCTTCTGGAAAAGCTTCATTCCTAGAAGTAACTGAATCATTCCACAGTACCCTTTGGTTTCACCCTTTCATGCACTCCTTCACTTCTCATTGCAGTCCTGAGAACAGGTGATATACACATAGTACATCAGAAGACACTAAGGCACATAATTTTTCCCAAAGTCACATGACTGTTAACATGGCAGAATGGTGATTGAGACCCCTGTTCTCTGATTTCTAACCCCACATTCTTTTGGTTGCCGATAGGCAGTCCAAGGTGCCCAAAAACACTCAGAGCCTGATGAGTACAGGCCTCCCGTGAAAAGGGAGGGTGGGTGTCTGATTGGCTGATGAGGGCTATGTGATACATGTAGAAGACAGGCCTTATCACTCAAAGGTGAGAACTGAGGGTGGAAGCACAGGAGAGGAATGAGACAGGAAAGAAGAAAAGGAAAGAAAGTAGAAGTCATGGATCTCAGGCAGTGTGACAAATAAATAGCCACAGTAATGAAAAACAACTGAAAGCCTGTCCATTGATAAAGACAAAACAGGGACCAACCCTGTAGTCTGAGGGAGAGAACCTCCATGGTGCAAGGGCAATAAGATGTCCACACTTGGAGTCACCAGTGGCACACTGAAGGCACATTATCCATAGAAAAACTGTGTTATGGAAGCACAAGGAAACATTCAGCAGTAAGTGCTGAGGACATCACTGTGCTTTAGGAAAGATCCTTTGATCACAGGGCAGGGCTGGCAATACAGACCCTTCAGACTTTAGTAATCTGCAAGGGTATCAGGTCAGTTGTCTATAGAGATTTTTAGAGCTCTTCTCCCCTGAGGAAGTTAAATTTGTGTCCAGTAATATATGTTCCCTTTTCTAGCATTTAATCACAGGTTAGCATCAGCAAAATTGCAAATTTGCTTAAGGCTACCAACATCTTATTTTGGATTTGAGACACTTGAAATTCTGAGGTCCAGTTTGGCCCGTGTAACCAAAGTCTCTGGGTTTCCTGGCTAGTAGACTTTACTATTTCAGCAAAGTACTTTTGGGTCATATGTGTTGGGCAGATTAAGATGTACACACTTAATCTCAACCAGAAGATTGAGAAATGATCTTGGCAAGGTATTTTAAAAAATCCAAAAGTTGGTGACCTTACAAGGTACATTTTGGATGTCTAATCTTTTGGAATAATGAGCCTCTCCATATCCTTTGATAACTTAGGGTCTTCCATGGTAGTTATGAACAGAGAATCTGGTACTTTCTGTATTTTTAGTGTGTGCTAGTCACTGTAAGTGCTTGAGGTGGGAGCTCATTCATCCCCAACAGCAACCTCTTACACTGTAGAAGCTGAGTTCCTCAAAGGCTTATGTAACGGGCCTTGGGTCCCACTGCTGTTTGGTAGCGGAGATAGGACGTGAACACAGGCAGGCATTCTGACTCCAGAACTTGCCCTCGTAACCACTTCGCTCTACTGCTGAGCCCTGTAGAAGGGTTAGAGTATTTTCCATTTCCATTTTCTAAAATGGACTCCGAGGGAGGTTACTGAGAAATTCTTCCAAAACCGTGGGTTTCACCATATCCCATTTTCTCACTAGTCTTTAAAGTCTCAAGTCTTCTTCCAAAAATAAAGTTAAGCTTAACAGGATACTCAAACCTGTTACCTTTGAGTAGATTTTGACTCATGGTGACCCTATGGGACAAAGTAGAACTTCCCCATAGGGTTTCCAAGGCTGTAATCTTTACAGAAGCAGACCGCCACATCTTTCTTCCGTGGAGCAGCTGGTGGGTTCCAACCACCAACCTTTCAGTTAGCTACAGTGCGCCACCAGAGTTCACAAGGTACGTACTTAAGATAACTCAGTTGTTATAACTCTGTCTGGCATAGAATACTCTTGGCTGTAAGCAAGCCACTTCCTCTGTTGTCCTCCAGAAGTGGTCTGTTCAGCCTCTGTTCAGCCCCTTAGACTCTTCTTCTGTTGAGTCTCTACCACCCTGCTCAGATCCTGAGTACAGCTCAGACTTGTCCTGCACAGAGGCATTCCTTGGCTACTTTTATTCATATTGATCCCTTTCCCCTAAACTCCATCACTTTTTGTCACCTTTTTTCATTTTGACACCTACTGATGTTTCCATATGATTAGGTGTCATATTTGTCTTCTACTCCATTTTCACAAAAAGTTTGGGTGTGTTTCCTTAAGCTATTTAATATATACCTAGTAGTGGATGGAAGGAGCCCTAGTGGTGCAGTGGTTAAGCGTTCGGTTGCTAACCAAAAGGGCAGTTTGAACCCACCAGCCATTCCACAGGAGAAAGATGTGGCAGTCTGCTTCCATAAAGATTTACAGCATTGGAAACCCTATGGGGCAGTTCTGCTCTGCCTTTAGGGTTGCTATGAGTTGGAATCCCCTCAATGGCAACAGGGTTTTGGTTTAGTAGTGGATGGTGGGGAGGGAGGACAGAATTTATTGGCAAAGAGTTTTGAAGCAAAGCCGGGAAATGTGTTCAAACTTTTGAGATAATATTTCAGAGAAAAACTTGAAGCTCTCCTGAGACTTCACTGTAGGAACACCGTAACCAATTCTTTTTTCTTTCTTTTTTTGTTCTCCCTTCTTGGGGAAGGT